CTTCAGAGAAACTGAAGTATATTGAGCCACACAGACATGAAGTAGGAGTGTAAGTTTTAGTCTATATCTTAAGAGACTGGGTTAGCAGTAAAAGGCCCTAAAGCCTAGTTTAAAGTTCAGTAGTGATACCTTTCACAAAATTACCTTAGTTCCAGACATCATGAAAACACAGCAGAGCATTGCTTGCATTTCTAGATAGAGCAGATAGAACATCTGTGTGAACAGACAGAACTGTGTGTGTAGGTTTTGGGTAAGAACAGACACTGCTTTTGCACATTAGAATTAAGCTTGGCTAGGTGTAAGAAGAATGTTTTAGAATCGTGTTTTTAGCTGATCAGATGGTTTATGAGTAAAATCCCTCTGTATTAGGGGGCAGAAGAGGTAGTAGTGCTGCTGCTGCTTCTGCTGCCTCTGCTCAGAACATCAAGACCCTGTGCCAGAAAGCTTTTAGCTTTTTTTAGCATGGACTTCAATAGCCTGAACTCTTCGCCTTCGAGGCTGGTGTATTCATGCAATAAACAACTTTACAACAACCAACAACTGCTCCTGTCTCTTTGAAGACCCAAGACCCGCTCATAACCCCTTCTGTCTTCCCCTGGTTCTGTGCCAGCCTGGCTGAGAGCTGTGGCACAGCTCCCAAAGCCGTGCCCACTGCTGGCCACGGGCTTTGCACCGCGTTTGCAGGGTCCCAGGGACCTGAGCCGTGCCAGCTTTGCTGCCTGAGGACTCGTCCTGTGGGTTTGCTTCCTCCAGCTTTCCTTCAGACGATGCCATGGCCCCTCTGCTCCTCACTGCCTGCTGCAAACGTGCCTCTGATGGGAGGCAGAGCACAGCAGAACTCTGGGCTGAGGGGACAGGGGCAAGGCTCCAGCACGCTGAGGCGGTGCACAGAATGCACAGCAGCACGGTAGGGCCTCCAGGAGAGGGGACAGGCTGTGGCACAGAGGGCACAAGGCAGTGAGGGACGGGCACGGGCTGCTACTGCAGACCTCATGGCTACAAACAGCTCTGGAATGCTCAGTTAAGGAAATACAAGCACAGAGAGGGACAAACATGGTTTGGAGGCGACAGAGAGAGCAAAGAATGAGCCTCTGGTGTGGAAAAATGCAGCATATTTAGGTCAGGGGGTCTACGGGGATACAGGCAGGACAACAGGGAGATGGTGCAGTGTTCTGCATCAGCCCATGCACAAGTTCCCCCTGCAAGGACAAGGTCTAGACATCCACACGGGACAGCCTGGAAAGTTCTTTGGAGAGATGGGGGGATCTGCACACCCAGAACACAGTGACTGTCCAGGGAAAGGTCACAGGAAATGTAATTCTGGGCTGAACCACAGGTAAATGGAAAAGCCTGTCCCGGGAAGTGTTCCAGGCTGGACAGGGCCGGGAGCAAGCTGGGACAGTGGGAGCTGTCCATGCCCATGCAGGGGCTGGAACTGGATGAGCTTTAATGTCCCTCCCAACCAAACACTCCTTTGACTCTATGATTTCTGCTTTTCAACAAATTTTGTCTGGGTAAGCATCAAGTCAACCAAGTGTCTGCTGGCACCAAATGGCTCCAGGACCAGCTGTGAAAATCTGCAGAAGTCCCTGGTGCAGAAGCCTGGGCAGGAAGGAGTAAAAGCATTGCTGATGTCCACTGGAGCAAGAGAATTGAACCAGGATTAGAGCAGGATGTGTCTGGGAAGGGGCAGTGTCCTCGTGGGGCAGCCCCGTTTTGGGGCCAACTTCCCTGTTCTGGCCCGTGGTGACCGAGCAACACAAAGGACAGCTCCAGGGCAGCCCTGGGGCCAGGAGTGGGCATCAGCTGCTGGCTGAGAGCAGATCCAGTGGACAGGGATCTACCAAGAGACCCCCAGAGCCCCTGGAGCCATTTCCAGAAAGGCCCAGAAGAACAGAGTGCAGGTGCTCACAGGGACCCCGATGCCAGCAGGGGAAACTTTCCTACAAAAAGTGTCCCAAACCCGGGCAGTGCCCCAGGACACCCTGCTTGGATCAGTGCTGAAGCCAGGACTGGTGATCTCCTTTCCTATTCAGTCTCTCTTTCACACTCTCCTGCCTCCCTCTTTCATTTTACTCTTTTATTTCTCTCACTATTACAAGGTAGGGGTGAAACATGTGTCGATTTCCAGGCCAAGTGTGGAGCTGGCCAATAAAACCTGGTTTTTGAGCTTTGTTTGTGGGACCCTTGTGGCTTTTGCCATTCCTTTGTGACCATGGGCACCTATGACTCTTGGGTGCTCCCTTCTACACAAGAGTGGGACGTGACACCTGGTACGACTGAGTCACCGAGCAATAAAACAACAGATTTCAAAGAAAAAGCAATGCACTGGGGAGAACACGTCAGATGGAAGATGACAGGCTGGTGGCTGACAATTATCTCTCAGGAACAAGCTGTCACTGGTCTGACAATGTTACAACACAGTTCAGTGATCAGCAGTGCCAAAAACAAACCAGATATTAGAAATTCCCTGGCAAGGAGCAGGAAACGTGGCCAGGACAGTGCAGGGCATCTGAAACTGCCACAGTCCTGAGCCTCGGGGGGCAAAACTCTTCTGGTGGAGGCAGCAGAGGTGGCAAAGGGCCCCAAGTGGGTGGGGGGATCTGCTCAGTGACATCTCCAGTGTGAGAAGCACAAAGTTGTTTTCTACCTGCCAGGAGGGGACAGCCAGGGGTCAGGCTCTGCTCCAGGGAACAGGGACAGGAGGAGAGGGAACAGCCTCAGGCTGGGCCAGGGCAGGCTCAGCTGGGACAGCAGCAGCAATTTCCCCATGGAAAGGGGGCTCAGGCCCTGGCAGGGGCTGCCCAGGGAGCTTTGGAGTGCCCATCCCTGCAGGTGTCCCCTGGAGGTGGCACTGAGTGCTCTGGGCTGGGGACAAGGTGGGGAGGTCTCTTCCAGCCTCAGGGATTCTGTGATCACCAGAGCAGGGTCTACCAGAGCCTAAAGTGCCACACATGAAATCTAGAAGGATTTGCTCTTCATGCAAGTGATTCATCACTGAAACAGCAGTGATGTGAGTGAAGAAAAGAGCAAATCAGCCCCCAAACCTGCTCCAGGAGGAAGACTCTGCCCCCATGCTGAGGGCAAGGGCTTTCCACGGGCTCTGGTGAAGCTTTCAGCTCCAGTGGATGTGCTCAGGGGTTACAAGGAGGTGCATTGCTGCCCCTCAGCACCTGCATTTCTGGTTTGTGGTGGGAGTTGTTCTTCTCCTTCTGAGCAGCAGCCTGGGTGTCATTTGCTGCCTTTTGCATTTACTCGATTTGTTCCATACCTGGAGCCCTGGGTCGGTGCCTCCTGGGCTCCTCTGGTGCCTGCTGCAGGGTGAGGGGAGCAGAGAGGGCCTGGGGTGAAGGCCAGGGCTGGGCAGACAGCTGCTTTGGGAAGGGAACGCTGGATCTCTCCCAGGCAGGAGGTGCTGCTTGCGAAAGACCCCTCTGTCACCCAAACATTGTCCCTGTGCTGACAAACACTGGCACCAGCCACAGCCCCTTGGAGAGGGGGAAGTTCCTCCCCAGAAGCCGCACCTGTGCCAGCAGCTCTGCAGTTAAAGCTGCCCCGGGAAGCTGCTGAGCTGAGTGCGGTTTGTGGTGTGCAGAGGTTAGAGGCTTTTCGGGCTGGTAAGGCTGACACAGATCTGGGGGCACAAATGTAGTTGTAACTCAGGTCAGCTGCTTCCTAGCTCTCACGTTTCTGTGTCTGCCTCCTCGGGCCTGAAGCTGCTTTTTCTGGGGTGTTTTGTGCTGTTTTAATGCTGTAAATGCTTTGTCTTGCTTCTGTGTTCTGCAAAATTCTTCTTAAAATGTGTCTGCTTCAGACCCTTGTGCTGTGTCAACAAGGAATGGGAAGGAATTTTCGTGGTTAAGTCTTGATGTTGGTTGATTGGTGTGGGGTTGGTTTTTGGGCTTTTTTTTTTTAGAAAATGACTATAAAATTGGTCCCGGCCTCTAGGCAGGCAGAGGAGGCCAAGGATGTGTGAAATGTGTTTTGTCACTCAAATCAGCCCAGGCTGGAGCACCCTGGGATGGTGGGAGGTGACTGCCCATGGCAGGGCTGGAATGAGATGGGCTTTAAGATTCCTCCCAGCCCAAACCCTCCTGTGATTCTTTGGTGATTCAGCCCTCCTGGAGACCTCGGGAGAGGGTTTCCAAGTCTCAGACGCAGATAAAGAAAGGACAGATAGGCTGTCCTAGCACAGCCCTGCAGCTCCTGGCCCACACAAGGAGCTGTGTTTGGTGCATTCCCTGCCCCTCTGAGCACTCAGGAGAGTCATCCCTGAGCTCCCCGTGTCTGGGGGGGTGCAGGAGGTTGGGGGGCTGGAAGCTTCTCTCTGAAGCAGTGGGGTGGCAAGAGGACCCCGAAGTGAGGGGGTCTCGGAGCACCCTCCTCGCTCAGGGGGGACGGAGTGACCAGTCCCAGCTCTCCCGGGGCTGTTTGTCCCGTTGTGGGGCTGTCCCGATGATAACGGTGCCTGACCTTGCAGCCAGCCTCGGGGGGGCTGCACGGTGTCCTTGGTGCCACCCGCTGCTGCCAGCTCCTCAGGAGTGCCACAGCACCTCCCTCGCTGCTGCCCGCACCAAACCCTGTCCTGGGCTGTCCCCTCTCCTGGGCTGTCCCCTCTCTGCCAGCCCTGTCCCCTCTCCAGGGCTGTCCCTTCTCTCCCAGCCCTGTCCCCTCTTCTGGGCTGTCCCCTCTCTCCATCCCTGTCCCTTCTCTCCCAGCCGTGTCCCCTCTCTCCCATCCCTGTCCCCTCTCTCCCAGCCGTGTCCCTTCTCTCCATCCCTGTCCCCTCTCTCCCATCCCTGTCCCCTCTCTCCATCCCTGTCCCCTCTCTCCATCCCTGTCCCCTCTCTCCAGCCCTGTCCCCTCTCTCCATCCCTGTCCCCTCTCCTGGGCTGTCCCCTCTCTCCAGCCCTGTCCCCTCTCTCCAGCCCTGTCCCCTCTCTCCATCCCTGTCCCCTCTCTCCCATCCCTGTCCCCTCTCTCTGAGCCCTGTCCCCTCTCTCCATCCCTGTCCCCTCTCTCCAGCCCTGTCCCCTCTCTCCAGCCGGGTCCCGGGATGGCAGTGCCGCTGGCCGTGGCTCTTGCGGTGGCCCTGGCGCTGTTGGCTGCCGAGGCGCTGAAGGAGCCGCTGCTGAACGTCTGCATGGACGCCAAACACCACAAGAGCGAGCCGGGCCCCGAGGGGAGGCTGTACCAGCAGGTGGGAGCCGGGCTGGGGACACTGTGGGCACTGAAGGCACCGTGGGCATTGCGGGCACTGCGGGCACTGGGGAGATCTCTCTGTGCCATCCTCCTGCAGCAGCCGGCTGAGCAGTGCCACTGCCGGGGGCTCTGCCACATCCCTGACACCCCTGGATCTCAGCTGGCCCAGAGCACAGCCCGGAAAGGACGGGCAGGGAGGAAGGGGAGGAAGGGGAGAAAGGGGGGGGGGGAGGAAGGGGAGGAAGGGGAGGAAGGGAGGAAGGGAGGGAGGAAGGGAGGAGGAGGAGGAGAAGGAGGAAGGAGGAAGGAAGGAGAAGGAAGGAGGAGGGAGGAAGGGAGGAAGGGAGAAGGGGAGGAAGGGGAGGAAGGGAGGAAGGGAGGAAGGGAGGGAGGAAGGGAGGAAGGGAGGAAGGGGAGGAAGGGAGGAAGGGAGGGGAGGAAGGGAGGAAGGGCTCTGCTCTGTGCCCTCGCAGCGTGGGACACACTCCTTGCTCTGCCCCAGCCCCTCGGCAGAGGAAGGAGGGTTTGGTTTGTTTCTGTCCCTTGGGCTGGCACAATTGCTCCGGAGCTGTTCTCCTGCCCCTCCAGCTCTGCCTTGCTGCAGTGCCCAGCTCCTGAAGCCAAAGTGCCCCAGAGTTTGGTGGGTAGACAAAACGCCGTGGCTGCTGCCCCGCTGGAGCTGCTGCCCGTCCCCTCTGTTGCAGTGCTCCCCCTGGAAGGACAACGCCTGCTGCACAGCCAACACCAGCCTGGAAGCCCACAAGGACCAGTCCTACCTCTACAACTTCAACTGGAACCACTGTGGGGTGATGCCACCCAAGTGCAAGCGCCACTTCATCCAGGACACGTGCTTGTACGAGTGCTCACCCAACCTGGGGCCCTGGATCGAGCAGGTGGGGTCAGATCAGGGAATCGTGGAACTGTTTTGGGTTGGGAGGGACATTAAAACTCATCCTGTTCCACCCCTGCCATGGCAGGGACACCTCCCACTCTCCCAGGCTGCTCCAGCCCCAGTGTCCAGCCTGGCCTTGGGCACTGCCAGGGATCCAGGGGCAGCCACAGCTGCTCTGGGAATTCCATCCCAGCCCTGCCCACCCTGCCAGGGAAGGATTTCTCTTTATATCTAGGGTGTCTCAGCTTTTCCCAGAAGCTAGAAAGATTGCAAGGGCTTTTCTGGCCTCAGACTGATGGAAGAACTCCTGTGTCAAGACACATCTCTGCTGGGGCTGAGACTCCTCTGGGATCAGCTGTGGGTCCCCGTGGGAGGGGCTGGGAGGATCTGGGACGTGGCAGATCTTGCCCCTGACCCCGAAGTGGTCCTGTGTCCTGCAGGTTGACAGCAGCTGGCGTCGGGAGAGGATCCTCCACGTGCCCCTCTGCAGGGAGGACTGCGAGGAGTGGTGGGAGGACTGCAAGGACGCCCTCACCTGCAAGGAGAACTGGCACAAGGGCTGGAACTGGGCCACAGGTTGGTGGGCTCTGGCAGTGGTGGGCTCTGGGAGCCTTTCCTCACCCCCCAGGCAGGTCCCTGTCAGTGCAGCTGCTGCCAGGACCCCTCTGTCCTCTCCGGGGTGGTCAGGGAGGTGGCACTGCCCTGCTCAGGTGTGGCTGTGGGCTGCGGGCAGTGACCTGCCCCTCGCAGGGGAAGGACAGGAGGGGAGGGCTGTGCTCCCACCAGGGTTTTGTGCCATGCTGCTCTGTCCCCAGGAACCTCTGCTGGATCACTCTGTGTCTCACAAACGGGTGGGACCCTGCCTGGGGCAGACTCAGGATTTATTATCTGTCTGTATCACACAAGCAAAAAGCAAGAGACACAGGGAAATAACAACATTCATGCAAATCCAGATTAGAGACAAGATGGCATCTTAGGCAAAGCCTTTTTCTACATATTCTTTGACCCAATAGCATAAAAGAAAAGGTGCAAAGTCATTATACCCTAACAAATAAGACAAGGACCCACGTGGGTTTAACATTAACAAAAGGACTTCTATGCACCTCAAACAATACACAGTAATTCATTATTAAAGACTGAAACTTTTTCTATCTTTGCAAAGCATATATCTAGGACTTTTCACACTGTGAACTATCAATAAGTTCTTGTTCTTCCTTGTTCCTTATGATAGCTATAAATGTATTCACTTGGTTCTTATTTTCCTCGCCTCCCATGAGAAGGTTTAGAAATTTCCCAGCCTTTCTCAGCTTTATGTCTACTTCTGGGGGCCTTTCTGCGCTTTCTAAAGTGACCTGTTTCTGTTCCCGCAGGAACCAACCGCTGTCCCTGGGGCTCCATGTGCAGACCCTTCAGCCAGGTCTTCCCCCGCCCCCAGGACCTGTGTGAGAAGATCTGGTCCAACTCCTTCCGCTACAGCCCCGAGCCCCGGGGCAGCGGCCGCTGCATCCAGATGTGGTTCGACCCTGCCCAGGGCAACCCCAACGTGGCCGTGGCGCGGTACTACGCCCGCAGACAGAGATCCTACCCGGCTCAGGCTGGCGGGGCCCCGCGGGCACTGCCCTGCCCCGCGCTGCTCCTGCTGCCCCTGGCCCTGCTGCTGCTGCCCGGGCAGCTGGGGGCTCTGGGCGCCCAGGGACCGAGCTCCCTGTGACCTCCCTGCCAGGGGCACGGCCAGGCTGCCCCAGCTGCCCTGCGAGAGGAACTGACCTCGGAACTCCCTCTGTCTGTCTGTCTGTCTGTCTGTCTGGCCCAGCGCCCAGCACGAGTTGTGTTGCTGGACCTGGGTACCACCTCTCGCTGCTGACCAGAGCAGGGATTTTCGTACCTCTGGGGAGGAGCAGAGCAGTCTCTGCTCTGATGTGGGAGCTCCTGCCCATCTGTTCCCCCCACGGCGTGTGCTGGCGTGGCTGAGCTCTGGTGGCTGAGCTCTGGTGGCTGCTGGGGCTCCCTGAAGGGTGGCTGTGAAAATAAAGTCTGGCTCTGGATCAGCCTGGCTGTACTGATGTGAAATACTCCTGAGGTGTCCTGGGGTGGTGGGGGGTGTGGGGTCTGTCAATGTAGGAATTGCCCTGGGGGGAGGAAAGAGCATAAAATTATGAATGGTTTGGATTGGAAGAGATGTCAAATCTCATTTCTTTCCATTCTCCTGCCATGGCAGGGACACCTCCCATTGTCCCAGGCTGCTCCAGCCCCAGTGTCCAACCTGGCCTTGGGCACTGCCAGGGATCCAGGGGCAGCCCCAGCTGCTCTGGGAATTCCATCCCAGCCCTGCCCACCCTGCCAGGGAACAATTCCCAATTCCCAATCTCCCACCCAGCCCTGCCCTCTGGCAGTGGGAGCCATTCCCTGGCTCCTGTCCCTCCATCCCTGTCCCCAGTCCCTCTGCAGCTCTCCTGGAGCCCCTTCAGGCCCTGGCAGGGCTCTGAGCTCTGCCTGGAGCTTCTCCTCTCCAGGTGAGCCCCCCCAGCTCTGCCAGCCTGGCTCCAGCCCCGTGGCCCCTCTGGGCTCTCTCCAGAGCTCCAGGTCCTGGCTGTGCTGGCCCCAGGGCTGGGGCAGAGCAGCAGAAGTGTCCCTGATGTGCCCCTGGCAGGGGCTGCAGCCCAGGTGAGCTGGCTCAGCCCTGCCCAGCCCTGCCTTGGGCTAAAGGTGAAGCTTCCCAGACCCGCAGGACCTGGGCAGAGACTTGCTGCTCCACTTCTTTGGGGTTTTTCTTCCTCTGAGGCAGAAACTTCAGCAGAACTCTAGCAAGGTCCTGCAGGGAAGTGCAGGGGAGGGGAAGAGCTGGGTGCCCTGCCTGGAGAGAGAGGGGCCCTGCTGCCTTTGGGGCTGGATAAAGCAGAAACCAGCCTGGCTCCACATCCTGACTGAGGGGAAGGGGTGGCACAGCAGGGGGAGTTCCTGAGAAAGGAATCCCCAGGTGATCCCACTGATCCCTTCCCTGAAGCTGCTAGCTGGCACAGCCAGAGACACCTGGCTGCCACTGCAGGGGCTTTATCCTACAAAAGCCCAGTCCCAGTTTTTTATAACACCCCCTTTGCCTGAGTCCCTTCCAGGGATGCCCTCAAGGTCACTTCTCAAGGCTGGGCCAAAGAGATTTGCCCACGGGCCTTGGTGTGGGTGAGTGACACCAATCTCTGCTCAGCATGGGGTTTGCTGGCTTTAACAAAATTCCTTCAATCTTCTTTCAGATATCATTCTGGCAATTGCAGCTACCTGTGCTGTGCAGTAAATAATGCTGATTAATCTCTTGGTCTAATCATTCTCATAATGAATAATTTATTTATATACATATGTTTGGGCTCCCATCCTCAGTCCTGGAGGCAAAGGTTCAATCACAGCTGTGCAATGCTTCAGACAGCGAGCATTGACCAAGGCTGGGGCTGGGCTGGGACCAGCCTCGCCCAGAGTCCCCTCTGGGAGGAGTTCAGGAGGCCACGGAGTCCAGCTGGGCTGGGCTGGTGGTTTGGGGTCTGTGGGGAGTGTTTGGGGTCCTTTCTGCTCCTCAGGGCTCAGTGGGAGGATCTCATGGCGAACTTTGTCTCCCACTCTGCCCACGGAGCAAGGCCAGGGCTGCCTGGGCCGGGCCAAGTCCAGGCTGCAGAGCTCTGTAGTACTTCAAATATTTTCAGGAGTTTTTAGATCAGAACGACTGTTTCCAGAAGCTTTTCCGACGCATTTTTATTTTAAAATGTTCCTAATGATGTAACCTCTGCCGCAGCTGATCACTAATTCCTTGCCTTTACATGAAACAGAGAAGCACTTTCCCTCTCTAACTTAAAAATGACGCATTTAATCTAATTGCTGTAAATACACTGTCTTGTCTCCAAAATCTGCAGGTGGAGCCCACAGCTGACCAGGGCTTAGAGATGTTTTGTAGCCCTGTGTGGGGGTGAGGTTTGCCCAGGCTGCCCGGGGAGGGACGGGGCAGAGGGAGCAAACACCAGAGAGCTCAGGAGGCCGAGCTGCTCGGGGCAGTCCTGCAGCCTGTGGGTTCTGCTCAGCGCTGCTGCTGTGCCCAGCACTGCTCCAGGTCCCCGTCCCTCAGCAGTTTGTGGGGTCCTGCAGGGAAGTGCTGGGACCTGCTCCTGCCCCAAGCCCACCAGGGCACCTGTCCTGGAAGGAGATCAGACCAGGGATGGTTTGGTGTAAGGTGGCTTTGGGAGGAGCTCCGAGGGATGCTGAGCCAGCTCCTCCTCAGGCACCCCCAGCTCCCCTCCAAGGGCTGAGTGCCCTCAGCAGTTCCTGCTGCACCCAGAAAAGTGGCTTCGTGCAGCTTGGCCAGGAAAATGTGCCCAGGCTGGGGAAGCTGGAGCTGAAGCAGGCTCAGGGAGGAGCTGGGGCTGCTCCAGGAGGTGACCAGGGAGTGGGGCCAGAGGGGACAGCACAGAGGGGAGGGGTCCTGGGCTGGGCTGGGCTGGGCTGGGCTGGGCTGGGCTGGGCTGGGAGGAGCACGAGGGCATGCAGAGCTGGGGAGGCACCGCAGGCACAGAGGCAGCACCTGAGAAAGAGCAAGATGAACTGTTTGGTCTCAGCCTGGTCCCAAAATCCTTTTTACCCCCTGGGATATCTGACTTTTGGCCATCTCATGGATTTGCCCAAACAGGAATATGCAGGAATATGGCATTCCCCGTGGTGTCCATGGTGATTATTTTAAGGAGAGAAGAAATGCCACTGAGCAGGACCTGCACTGCTGCAGATCTTCGTTCTGTGGGGTGTTTCATTTGCTTTTGTTTGTCTGGGTTTTGTAGCTGAAAGCACTGGACCTCATCAAGGTGAGCTTGGGGATACTGAAGAAGAGATATTTCCGTGTCCCATCCCTGGCAGTGTCTCAGGCCAGGCTGGACACTGGGGCTGGAGCAGCCTGGCACAGTGGGAGGTGTCCCTGCCATGGCAGGGGTGGCACTGGGTGGGATTTAAGGCCCCTTCCAACCCCAACCTCTCCAGAATTGTCACCTTGCACAAGGACAATGCCCAGAAGGTCACATTTCAGGAACCTGTGGGGTTCATTAGAGATGGAATCAAATTAGCAGTTTTTTTCCCCAAACTTCACCAATGCAACAACTAGGCAGGAAGGGCACTAGAAGGCACCAGGCATAAATTCTCACCTTTGAGGTGATCCCTGGCATGAGAAAAACCCAGAAGTGATGATTTACAGAAGGAAATGGCACAAGCATGGAAAGCAAAGGGAGGGATGGGACACAAGTGATTTGCATTCATCAAGAGGCAGATTAAAGTAAAAGCTGCTCTGTTATTCAAATGCTGGGGAAGCACAGGGAGCCATGGATGCTGTGACCAGGCATGGCAGGGACTTGGTTCTTTGTTATAAATTATTTTTCCTGAAGTGGTCTGACGTCAGCAGCAAAGTAAGAAATCAGAGAGAATAGAAGGGAAAATTAAAAGCTAATCAAACATATGGTTTAAAATTAGCAGGGCAAGGTAAGGGCAGGGTGACAATTCCCCTGGGAGCACTTACAGCGGGGCAGGGGCAGCCCAAGGGCTGCTGGCAGAGATCTTGGAGCATGAACAGAAATTATGCGGGAATGAAAACCAGCATGGAGTGAGGCAACAGGAGATGTGGAAAAGTCAGTCCATGAGGAGGGGCTGAGGGAACTGGGAAGGGGCTGGAGAGTTCCTGAGGGAACTGGGAAGGGGCTGGAGAATCCCTGAGGGAGCTGGGAAGGGGCTGGAGAGTTCCTGAGGGAGCTGGGAAGGGGCTGAGCCTGGAGAAAAGGAGGCTCAGGGGGGACCTTGTGGCTCTGCACAGCTCCTGCCAGGAGGGGACAGCCGGGGGGTCGGGCTCTGCTCCAGGGAACAGGGTCAGGAGCAGAGGGAACGGCCTCAGGCTGGGCCAGGGCAGGTTCAGCTGGGACAGCAGCAGCAATTTCCCCATGGAAAGGGGGCTCAGGCCCTGGCAGGGGCTGCCCAGGGAGCTTTGGAGTGCCCATCCCTGCAGGTGTCCCCTGGAGGTGGCACTGAGTGCTCTGGGCTGGGGACAAGGTGGGCATGGGGCACAGCTGGGACTCCCTGGGCTGGGAGGGCTTTTCCGGCCTCAGGGATTTGGGATTCTCTGATTGCTGGCTGCACATGGGTTTTCCCTTCAGAACTCCCCATGCAGACAGGGTTTCCCCTCCTGACTCCCCAGTGGGGCCACAAGAATCCCTAAAATCATAAGTGACCAAAGAAAGAGCTAAGTGTGACCAGAAGCTGTTTTTTTATCAGCACATTTTATAGAAAGAAGGTTCTTCTGCAAGATTTATGTCCGAGCTCCAGCCTTTGGGCTAATGAAAGAAATTATCTCTCCTGAAAAATAAAAATACAAAATGCAGGGTCAGGCATCTGATAAAATCCCTGTTTTCAGAAAAATGCATCATTAGTTGTAGTTGTTTGCTGGAGGGAAAAGTGGCCCAGCATTAAAATGATTTGCTTTTCCAAAATTTATCCAGACCATTTTCTAACCCTGAATCCATCACTCCCCACAGCAAAACCACGTCCCCGTGATGACTGCAGATGAAATAATTACTGCCCTGCTTCCCAGGGTGAGTCACCTTATCCAAAGGTTCTCGGTACCCCGGCCCCTGCAGAGGTCAGCGATGAATGTCACCCCACAAGGCTTTAATTCCCAGAATTTGTGGTATTGTGAGATAAGCTGGATAATATAGCCCCCATAACCCTGACCACGGGGCACAGAGCATCCTTCACCTGGCTGTTGTTGCAGCGGAAAGGAGGAGCAAAAGGAAGCAGTTCAGCAGTGAAAGTGCCCAGAAGCAGGGTTTTATACCAAGGATGTACCCATCCACTCCCAAGGAGTGCTTCAGAGACCTCGCCCTGCTCTGAGCCAAGACCTTCCCATCCACTGATGCACTAAAAACACAGCAGACTCCAGCTCAGGGAAGAAATGATGATGTCTGCTCCAGATCAGGAGGCTAAAGGATTGCTTTATTAAAACTAAACTATATTACATTAATATACTATTTAAAGAGAGACTATC